ATCCCTGTAGGACCCATTGGAAGCAGACCCACTCAGTGAGGGCTCCCTATTTTCAGTTATATTTTGAGACCTATCAGTTAGCCAGTTTTTATATCATTCGAGTTTTTGAATCAAAATGTCACATGGTACAAGTCAAATGCCTCACAGAGATCTAAGTATATTATATCAACACTGTTACCTTTCAGAGTAGCAGCCGTGTTAGTCTGTATCCGCAAAAAGAACAGGAGTACTTGTGGCACCTTAGAGACTAACAAATTTATTAGAGCATAAGCTTTCGTGGGCTACAACCCACTTCTTCGGATGCATATAGAGTGAAAAACTAGTTTTTCACGAAAGCTTATGCTCTAATAAATTTGTTAGTCTCTAAGGTGCCACAAGTACTCCTGTTCTTTTTACTGTTACCTTTATCGACCAAACTTGTAATCTCATCAAAAAAAGATATCTAGTTTGATAGGCCCTATTTTCCATAAACCGATGTTGATTTACATTACCTCCTTTACTTCATTATTAATCAAGTCCTGTATCAGCCACTCCATTATCTTGCCCAGGCTGATAGGCTTGTAATTACCCATCATCCCATTTACCCTTTTTAAAAATTGGCACATTAGCTTTCTTCCATTCTTCTGGAACTTCCCCAGTGCTCCAACACTTATTGAAAATCAACATAAATGGTCCAGAGAGCACCTCAGCCAGCTCTTTTAAAACTCTTGGATGTAAGTTATATGGACCTGATGATTTAGGAATCATAGAGTCATAGAATATCAGGGTTGGAAGGGACCTCAGGAGGTCATCTCGTCCAACCCCCTGCTCAAAGCAGGACCAATTCCCAACTAAATCATCCCAGCCAGGGCTTTGTCAAGCCTGACCTTAAAAACCTCTAAGGAAGGAGATTCCACCACCTCCCTAGGTAACCCATTCCAGTGCTGTCTAACCTTAGTCACTTCTGTTTAACATCCTCCAGAAATACTAGTGGGCTGGAAAGAGTGTTATCCCCAAATACAGAACCAAAATATTTATTGAACACCTTGGCCTTTTCTGCATTATTATTGATAATTTTACAATTTCCATCTAATAATGGACCAATACCATTGTCGGGATTCTTTCTGTTCCTAATATATTTTAAAAACTCCTTCTTATTGTCCTTAACTCTGCTAGCCATAGAGTGCTCCTTGTGTCCCTTGGCTTCCCCTATCAGTTTTCTGCAATGCCTAACTTCTGATTTATATTCCTTACTATCAACTTCCTCTTTCTTCTATTTGTTATATATTATTTTTTACAGCTTCCTTCACTTCTTCTCTAAACCAGTTTGTTTTTTTTAACCAGCACAGTATCTTCCTCAACTGTGGGACTATGGCTTTTTGGGAATCTAGTAAGGTGTCCTTAAATGATTCCTAATTATAGCTGGCCATTTAGGATCAAGTCCTCTTCCTATTGGAGTCACTGGCAAAACTTGTCTGTCCAATTTGGGGCTATATGACACACAACCCAAACTCTGCCCCCTCACACACACACCCTCACCCGAGCTACTGAGCATCCTTGACTGAAGCCAGGAAGGACATGACCCCTCTGAGTGTTATTTTGTAAGCCCCTTAGGGCAGGGATGTTTTCACCTATGTTTGGCAGAGAGAGCACCAAATGCAATAATGGCCCTCAATAAATGGTTATTTATTTACTACTATTATAGCAGCTAAGACAAAAAGAAGACATGCCCCAAATTACTTACAATCTCAGTAATAATGTGACCATTCATATAATCTAGATACCATGGAGATTGGACATTTAATACAGATTTATCAGCTGTTGTAAATCCCTTCTTTAATCTATGTTACAGAAAGTGTTAAGAGTGGTGGCATTTCTGAGTTTTGGGAGAAGAGATTTGCCACTCTGATTTTTCGGGTGATTAGGGCACTTTCAATATGACACCATGTTCTTTGGAGGCTAGTCTCCAATCATGGAAATATTTACTATAATTAAGGCCAAGATTTTTCCCTGATGATCTCTGCTCCTTGTCCCCCCAAACCACTTAAGACCTGATACCCTGCACTCAAACAGCAGTTCTGGTAGATTTTAAAGATTTTTTTTTTTTAAATCACAGACAGACAGATGGGGTTGCAGTGACTCTTGCCAATGTACAACAGTCATTGTAACCATTGGGGCTACTGTGACATTAAAAAGGTAATATCACGGTACTAAACTAGTATGTATTAGAGACAATTTTTTTATAATAGCATCATCAATGCCTTGCCAACTAATAATGCTCACGTGTAAAATTAATGCAGTTCATACAAGTGCCTATTTATATACTATAATGAAAAATATTGTGTAGAAATTATATATTATTACACACGAAAAAATACATGAAAAAAACACTAAGGTTGCACCAAGAAGTTAGAAATGACAGGATTAATTTTGACTGTGCACCCTGAATTTGGTCCCCTTTTGCCTATGAATTATGGTACAGTCTTTATTTACATGATCACCTACTATTTTTTCAACAGGACTCCGACCTTATTCGGTGCACAGAATGGACCTGCTTGAGGGATGAATCAAGGAGGCTGTTTTCCATAGGTCCATTGCATGCCTGACTTTGCAACTGTAATAATATTCTTTTAATGTAGGTGGTGTTTGTTTAATTTCCTCCTTGAAGGCTTGTGTAATTTCCTAGCTTTTTAAAAGAGCAAATTTTAAAAACAGGAATTCCATCATTTGGCATCAGATTAACACCCACATAGGTCATCAGCTGGGTTGGAACCTACAGAATCACTACACAGCCCTCTGCCACGTGAGCTAATGGAGTAACGGAGAGCAGTAGCAGGTTGTCACGCTGTATGTGAACTAGCACAGGAAGGGGGTGGGACATTTTGCCTGTGGGTTTCTCAGATATTTGCTGACACAGAGGCATGATATGACTCAGGAAACTTGGGTTCCATTCCAGGATCTTAAGGGGAGTGTATTCTAGGGTACAGACTCTTCCACCCCACGCTTGACTCCTTCCTGCCTGTCCCTGTCCCAGTCCTGTATCTTCCCTACCCCTGGCTGTTTGTTCCAGTCTCATTCACATAGCCAGTCCTACACTTCACAGGTCTTCCGCTTGCCCCCTCTGCATTCAAATCAGACTGCTTCCTCCTCCTCACTGCCTGGGCCCAGCAGAGGGCTCATTCAGAGCACACGAAAGATGGTATCCCTGCTCTCAGTTCAGGTGGCCAAACCTGACACAACCCACAACAGCCCAGAGCTGCAGTTGCAGGGAAAGTTCTATTCAGCACTAGGCTGGAGCATGCTCAGTGCAGATGGAATCTCTAGGATATTTAGCGGCTAAAATCTAAATCTCTACTGAGCAGGTGCAAACTGTAATTTTTCAAAGGTTAACATTTGAGGGGATTTTCACAGGGATGACAAAAGGCACATCACTGACACAAAGGTCAAATTTCAAGTCCCTGCTCCAAAACACAGGGATGCTAGAGCCTTCCAGATATTAGGTCACCAACATTTTTTGACAAAGGCAAAACAACCTATTTTGCCCTGGCATCATTCTTGGCAAGAGATGAACTATTTTGCCTGAAATTCCTCCCAACCACCACCACCAAAAAAAAAAAAATCAACCTGAGGCAGAAACCCAGCATGGAAAATTTCAGCCCAAATGGTAAACATTTGGCAAAGTGGTAAGTAACTGAAAATAGGATCTTGTAATGGGGTAGTGATGAGCAACCTTAATAACAGGCTATCCTACCAGCCCAGCCTATAATAATCAGAAATGTTCAGCTCACTGGGTTACTCAATTAGCTGAACATCCTGAAACACAGCGGAAGGAATATTATTGCACGCAGTGTCCAATGGGCTGTTCCATTGGGGGTGGGGAGAGATGATGCATTTATATTTATATTACAAAAATATATATATTGAAAACATTAGGATACTTTTCCATGAAATGTCCTTATTTGGCCCCCGATTACTTGAGTGCCTCTCAGTCTTTATCCTCACAACATTCCTTTGAAATTGGGAAGTAGTGTAACCACCCCTTCCCACCCAATTATAGATGGGGAAATAGAGAGAGAAACTAAGTGACTTGCCCGAGGTCCACAGGAAGTATGTGACAACCTGAGTCTGCCAAATTTCAGTTTAACACCTTAACCACTGGAACATCCTTCATATATTTATTTTGCTTAGCTTACCATTGATGATCCCCGCCTGCTGTTCCCATTCTCCCACATGGGGCCCGATACAGGTCTCAGTGAAATCAGTGCCAAATATCCGCTGACTTAAACAGGAGTGGAACTGAGCCCTTAATTCTTCAGGGAGGCTGGAGATGGCAAACAGGACTGGGAGCCACAAAACCAGGTTTCTGTTCCTGGATCTGCTGATAAGTCGTTGTGTAATCTTAGAGAGGTCACATAACTTCTCAGTGTCTCAATTTTCTTCAGTACAATGGGTACAATGATATGTTGGACTTTCGTAAAGTGCTTAGAGATCTCTGGATGGGAAATCATTTAGATGTGGTAAGTATTATTATTAATGGTTTGTATTGTTTCCATCTAATTGTGATTGTAGCCTCCTTGAGGCTGGGCCCTTGCCTTCTGTGTTTGTAATGATGGGCAAATAATTAGATGTATACATAATAATATAATAATAGTGTTGTGAGCTCACTTGGGGCTTCACCCTGTGATATGTTTTATTCTGCCCCTACAACAACATTTTAATGTAAAAAGCAAAGTGATCAGGGCATTTATCACTGGTATATAGGGCAGGATACTCTATGTACAACAGCAAAGGGACATTACTTATGGCAGCAGCTGAAAACCCTATGTTGTATATTGGAGGACTTGTGGTACCAGTTCCAAGAATATTTGCTTCCCACCACTTTGTAGCAACATTTACAAGACTCCCTGGAAGTTCAGGCAATAACACCCTATCTTAAAATACATGTGGCATAATAAAAATATAGGGTCACAGTAAAGTTTAGTTTATTGACAAGAACAAATAACTTTAACATTTGGCTCAGG